ACTTTTTTTTCACATTTTTTGCTCTTTTTTTGTTTATAGCGCAAAACATAAAACACCCAGCAGTGAGTAAATACAACCAAAAGAAAGCTCTATTTGTGTGGAAAAAAAATGATAAAAATTTTATATAGGTACAGTGTTGCATGACTGCACAATTGTCATTCAAAATGTGGCAGCGCTGAAAGCTGAAAATTGGCCTGATAAGGAAGGGGGTATAAGTGTCTTGTAGGCAAGTGGTTAAGCTTGTAATATGAAACTTTGCTAAACGTTTCCAGGGTTGATGAGATTTCTGTTAAGGAGTTAAAGGGATCTGTAACTGTATGGCATCATCTAGGATTTATATGCTATTAGTATGCCTGAGATTGATGAGTTAAGTCTGATTGAAGTCGCCAGGGGTTCCATCACTAAAGAAAAAATGATAGGGGAAAGAGGACATCCTTGCCTGGTGCCATTGGTGATTATAAAGGAGTCTGATAAAGCATTAGAGGTAAATACTTGCACAGTAGGGACTGTATATAAAGCAGTAATGACAGATTTAATAGAACCATGAATACCAAAGTTGCTTTTTCGAAAGCTTTTTCGGCATCCAACGCCAGAAAAGCAGCCTGTGATTTACGAAGTTTGGCAAGTCTCATCAAATTAAGTACTCTACGTGTGCCATCTGCTGCTTGTCTCCCCTTACAAAGACCACTTGGTCTGATTGGATAAGGGAAGGGGTGTATTTTAATAAGTGACTCGCAATGATTTTAGCGTATATTTTGAGGTTGGTATTAGGTAAGGATATTGGTCTGACATTTTGAGGGCAGTCTGGAGTTTTACTAGGTTTGGGTAAGGTGACTAACTGCATTCAGCATCTCGGGGGGAAAAGAAGTAGTAGTCACAGCTTCTACAAAAACTTTTTTTAAGGTGAATTAGTAATATATCATGGAATTCTTTATAATATTCTGCAGAGAACCCATCTGCACCGGGTGATTTTCCTTTTGGTAATGCTTTAATAGTGGCAATAATTTCTCTATATGAGAGTGTTTGATTCAAAGCATCCAACTTTTGCTGGTCAAGTTTGGGTAGAGGTAGGTTATCAAAAAAAAAGCGTTTAATATGGTCAGGAGTAGGTTGGTGCATATTCGGGTCATCTTTAAGATTATATAATTGAAAGCAGTAGGAACGAAATGTCTTCGCTATTTTATTAGGGTGAAGCGTTATTCTATTCGATATAGGATTGATTATAGATGATAGTTTAGAATTTGATTGCGTTGAGGTAGTTGGCGAGCATTCTGCCGGCCTTGTTGCCTTGTGTATAATAGGTAGCTTTAGCTCGTTTAAAGATATTTTTCATGTTGGATTATTGTAAGTTTTCTAAGAGCTGGTCTATTAACTTACTAATAATAGCATTAGAGTCACCACAGTATGGCAAGAACCCTTTCTGGATCTTTGTTACTTTTTTCCCGTAGAGTGTTTAAAAATGAAATTTGGTTGGCATTAGGAGCATATAGGTTTACAATTGTGTAAAGGATATTATTTCATTCACAGACCATAATTAAGAACCTGCCCTTTTGGTCCACCTCTAGGGAATGAAGAGGAAATGCGTCAGAGTGCTTTATTGCTATTAGAACTCTGCATCTTTTTTCTGCATAATCCATAAAGACATGCATAAATAGTCTATGAGAGCAATGTTGTGCCTTGGGTGCAGAAAAATTAGTTTCTTGTACACAGATTATGTCCCCATGTAGTTTCTGTGCCTCTCTCCATAGCATTTGATGTTTGAAAAAGCTATTAAGACCATGAGCGTTCATAGACACAATCTTCAGTACCATAGTGAAATACACAGCAAGTCTGATGTTTTATTGCCATCTATTGACATGAGTAAGACTTGCATGGAGGTATTTGCAAAATATATAGAATCACTCATAGTATCCAGATGCACCTGCTGGTAGCAGATAAGCCTCCACACCTGAAGGTTCTTCCGATGGATCATAGAAAATGCCTGGGATAAAGCAGGTGTCGGTGCTCTGTTAGGTAAACTAGTGGAGAAATATAGGAAAAAAACTTGAGAAAAACAATATGCACAGTTACCAATAAATCTTGTGTGAACCAAATCACTGTAGTGTGTTGGGGGTATGTTCCAGGAAGCACGGGCAACAATCCAATTTAATTGCAATGTTAGTGGGAAACATTTGTTGCACAAACAAAGGTTCATTTTGTATCACCCAGCCACTTGTTCCCATTCAGACATAACTTTTCTAGGGGAAGATTTAACAGGTATAAGCTCCCCCTCAGTAGGTAGAATTCCCCATTTCTTGGCTAGTTGAAAGCCCTCTTCCTCTGAGCTGACAGTCAGTAGGCGGTTATCTTTTGTAATAAGCAACTTAGTGGGGAATCCCCATTGATATTCAATGTTGTTATTACGCAATAATTTAGTAAAGGAGATTAATTTTTTACAGACTTGAATAGTATGCTGGGAAAGATTAGTGGAAAGAGAGATCCTGCTATATGGATTATTTTTTCTTGCAAAGATCATTAATTCTTCCTTCAGGTGGTAGAAGTGGATTTTAGCGATACTGCCCCTAGGGACATTGTCAGGGAAGAAGGATGGTTTCAGCAGTCTATACGCTCTATCCACGATTACTTCTCTATCTTGTGCGTGCGGCAGTAGTATAGCGATCATCTGTTGTACATATCTTCTGAGATCTGCAGCTGGGACGGTTTCACTCATTCCCCTTAATTTGATATTGTTCCTACGTGAGTGGTCCTCTAGATCCGCCATTTTCATTTTTAGGGCTTTCAGTTCTTCTTCTGTATCATTATGGGCATCCACTAATTCATTGTGAGCAGTAGCAAACTCACCTATTTTAGATTCCACATTATTCACCCGCTCCCCCAGGTTCTCTACCTCTGCATTCACTTGCGTCACAAAACTCATCATATCTTTATATACAGAGCCTTTGAGAGTAACTAACATATCTTTCATAACTAAGGCAGTTAAAGGTTAATCCTCAGCAGGATAGTCCTCCAGATGTTCTATGAATTCTCTAGTAGTGTTACGGGAGAAGGAATCATTAGACTACTCACCATGGGGCCCCCCGGGCAATAGGGGATCATGGGGTCCCTGTGTCCTTGCCCAAACTCAAAAAAGCCTATGAAAAAAAAGGTACCAGGGGCATCTCATGGGGCCCCCTACTGACCCCGGGCCCTCAGGCAGTGCCCGAGTTTCCAAATGGTCAGTCCGCCCCTGCTACTCACCTATATGCTGTAGATCTGGGGAGCAGCGCTGTTTAGCCTTCTGAGGGCTGCTAGTAGGGGTGTTGTTTGTGAATCCTGTAGGACTAGCGTTTTGTGAGGGGAAATGGTGACTCCTCTTCCACATGTTGCTGTGAGGCTGGAGAACTGCTGGGACCGGCACCATCTTGGGAGGAGGGGACACCCACTGTAGTGAAGGACTCCGTTAGTTTGCGGGGTCCCTCCTTGTATCTGGGTAGGGTCCTCACACTGTTAAGTTGCTGGCTGGTGCTAAAGGTTTGTTTCCTGTTGCCCCTCATAGCTTTATATAGCCAGAGTTGTTGGCGGCTCCCGGAGTTCTCGCTCTAAGTGGCCATCTCTGTTGGCTGCTGGCTACACCCCCTGCAGTTTAATGCCTCAATGTGCTCTGAAAATAGGGACAAAATGTAATCTAAATTTTTGACTCATCAATGTAGCCAACTTTGTGGCAGTCTTACCAACACTATTGCAGTTCCCACGAATGTGTTGCACTTAGGTTGCTTTGCTTTCACCCTTCTGTTCAGCTCATCCCAAGCCAGCTCGATGGGATTTAAGTCTGGATACTGATGGCCATTTCATAATTTGAAGACTATCATCTTGTTTGTTCTTCTATGGTAGTTCTGAAGCAGCCTGGAGGTATGTTATCTCATCTTATTGTAGGATGAACCCCTGACCTACTAGATGTATTCCAGAAGGTATTGCATGGCACTGAAAATGCTGTGGTAGCAGTTTTGGTTAAGGGCACCACTCACTCAGTGCAAGCCGTCAACTCTGGATCCAGCAAAAGAGCCCCAGACCATCACGCTTCCTACTCCATGTTTGACAGTTGGTGTTACACACCGAGGAACTATTCTTTTACTTAATGGCACACCAAAATCCTGCATGATTAACTGGCAATATCAAATTTTAATTGATACATTTTGACCTTATTCCAAACTTCAGTAGTCCACTGGGGGTGCTTCATGGCACAGCCAAGCCTCTTTCTCATTTTACCATTTTAGCAATAGCTTTCCTACAGCCACTTGACATGTCAAACCTGCAGCTCAAATTCTCCTCTTTACAGTTGAAACTGAGACTTCCTTACTTCAATCGATTTTAAAGTGGTAGTAAACTCTGTATTTTGATTTTTATCTACAGGTAAGTTTATAATAAAGCCTTCCTGTAGGTTAAATAATATCTCCCAAATGTGCACAGTTTAGGAGATATTCGCTTGGTTGATAGCCGGTGACGTCACCAGCTCATGCAAAGCTGTGCTGTGGCCATGACTCCCACACACATGCACAGGAGTAACATCATCGCAGTTTGACCATTCATGTGGCCACAGCCCACAAACTCGGAAAAAAGTCTGGGTGTAGATGGAAGCCTCTGCAGTGGTGACAGCACCCCACCTGAAGGCTTCGTTTCAAGGTAAGTCTTTCATAATGTGCTAGTATGTGATGCATACTAGCACATTATGCCTTTACCTTGCTGGGAGAATTTTTTTCCACTTTATATTAAAAGATTACTACTGCTTTAACCTCTTGCCAACTGCAGATAGCCAAATGATGGCTTCACTGCAGCCGGCCAGTTCTGGGAGGGCGTAATATGACATCCTCCCAGAATGCACCCTCCTACGTGCCCCCAGGCGCCACCCAGTGATCTCTGTGTCCTACGGACACAGCTAATCATGTGAGATGGTAAAAGACCAAGCACAGTGACCTTTTACCACGTGAGCAGCCGTGTCCAATGACACAGAAGATCACCAGTAAATGCCGTTGCCGATTATCGGCTGCACTTTCCTCACGCTGTCACAGCGTGAGGAAAGTACTGCCGATAACTGGCAATTGTCAGAGGAGGGATCGGCACCGATCATCAGGGCACTGATGATCAGTGCCCCGATGATTGGTGCACAACAGTGCCACCCACCAGTGCTGCCCACCTGTGCCCAGCAGTGCCACCAACCTGTGCCCATCAGTGCCACCCACCAGTGCCCAGCAGTGCCACCCACCAGTGCTGCCAGTCAGTGCCATCAGTCAGTGCCACCCATCAGTGCCATCTATCACTGCCCATCATTGTTGCATATCAGTGCCAGCGTATCCATTCTGCCTATCAGTGCCGCCTATCAGTACCCAACAGTGCCATCTATCAGTGCCCACAATTGTTGCATATTAGTGCCAGCTCATCAGTGCCACCTCATCAGTGCTGCCTATCAGTGCAGCCTCATCAATGCACATCAGTGAAGGAGAAAAAATTACCTGTTGCAAAATTTTATAATAGAAACAAAGAAAAACTTTTTTTTTTTTTCAAAATTTTGCTCTTTTTTTTGTTTATAGCGCAAAAAATAAAAAAAAAAAAACACCCAGTAGTGAGTAAATACCACCAAACAAAAGCTCTATTTGTGTGATAAAAAATTTCATATGAGTATAGTGTTGCTTGACCGCACAATTGTAACTCAAAGTGCGAGAGCGATGAAAGCTGAAAATGGGCCTGAGCAGGAAGGGGGTATCAGTGCCCTGTAGGCAAGTGGTTAAGCTGTGCTTGTGGATGTTGTCCTGTGAGCTGCATATTGTGCAAGCTGTTGACTCTGAGAAGATTGTCTTATGATTCTGTTGTGGCTTTGGATCTACAGTACCAGATCTCCTCCTGACAGTTTTTTGCCAGTTTCCAAGTACTCTTTGATGGTATAAGAAACTGTTCCGGCTTTCTTAGCAATTTCAAAAGGGGAAGAATGGTCTATCTGTATGTCTGTCTCTTTTTCTTGCTATTTTAGAACAATATACTAATTTCTGTAATACAATACTGTCCAAATATTGCATAAGTCTAGGTTCACACTATTGCTGGCCATGCAGCCTGCAGTTGCTCAAGCTCAGGCATTTGCCATAGGAAAAAGGCATGTGCACAATTTAAAAAAATGTGGCCACAGGGAAAATGCATGGTCTTTTTGACCATGCAATTTCCCTGCGGTTCCAACACCTGCAAACACTCTGCAGGCCTAGATGCGTGGGGGTGCCATTCAGAATGAGTAGCAGCCCTGTGCATATCGCAATATTTGTCTGTGGGTGGTTGCGGGTGCTGGAAAAGGTGTTATTCCTGTACCTGCAACCAGCCCACAAACTGTGGGCAAGTGTGAACCTAGCCTCAAAGAGTGTAGTAACAAGTTCAATTTCAACACTGCTTTTATGCAGAGAGCTTGTAAGAAATCAACAAAAGTTGGGACACCTGCAGGAATTGTTGGCATAAACTTTCAAGATTAATTTACTTACATTGTTACAGAACAACTGTGAGTTGTTAACCAATTACTACTTCCCTGAAAAAGGCCTTTTTGTATAACATTGAAATGTACAGTATTTTTCACTTTTTTCACTAACCTACACTTTTCTTTTCACCTCTGGCAGTTTACCAGTTTCCTTTGTACCTTTCCAGGTTATTCATTGGACTTCAACTGTTTAAATGTACCACTGAGGACGTGTTATTACATGAAACGTGTTGGGTGGAGCCCTATTGCTGACCTCTAGCTGCCGCTACTTATGAGCGTCGGCCATTTTGGTACTTTATTCAGTTATTTATTTATTTTATTACTCCACGTGGATACGTTTTTATGTTACTTGCTATTATTATCTTAAATAAAATACTACATTATAAGCACCTTTCTGGCTCCTGTGGCTGAGCTAATTCCCCCCAGGACCACCAGGCACCCACCCTGACGGATGGACGGATGATTCCGTAGCTGTCAGCATACCGCTGCACCCCCAGATGTACAATGTATTATAATCAATGCGCATTATAATTTATGGTCTGGTGAGTGTACATCCGTACCAAGGGTGGATTTCCTTTTACAAGCTTTTGCAGTTACTCTTCATGGATAACTTCACGTGCCATTCGTAGGCATTTCTTCAGCTGATATCTTTGCACAAGAGATGTTTTAAATTCACGAATGCTCTGATGAACTTATTTTATTGCATTTTATGTCATCTTGAACTAGTTACCAACTAAGACAACTTTTTTTACTTAAAAACATACCCCAACAATTGGGGGTCGTCTTATACGCCGGGTATAGAACCGCTGGATGTGCGGTAATACTGTACGGTAGCTTCAGCTACATACAGCGTATCGCGCTGAGCCAATCACAGCGAGCGATGTATTCTATTAATGAATACAGAGCCTGCTCGGACTGGCTGAAGTTGTGACATCATCAGCCCGCCTCTCTGACTCAGCCAATCCGAGCAGGCTCTGTATTCATTAATAGAATACATCACTTACCGTGAGTGGCTCATATGACGTCCTCCCATTCTCCGCGCATGCACGGCGATGTGCTGTGCCCCTCAGACACAGCGGATCACTGATCACGGAAAGAGCCAAAGAGATGTCAGCTCGGTCATGTGATCAGCTGCGTCCAATCACAGCTGATCATATGTAAACAGGGAAATGCCGATTATCGGCATTTCTCTCCTCGAGCTGTCACGCTGACAGAGGAGAGGAGAGCCGGTAATCGGCTTTCCGCGGAGGGGACATGTACACTGATCATCAGGGCACTAATGATCAGTGTGCCCTGATGATCAGTGTAGCCCCAGCAGTGCCAGCTGTCAGTGTCCATCAATGCCACATATCAGTGCCTACCAGTGCACATCAATGCCACATATCAGTGCCCATCTGAACTTCCTTTCAGTGTTGCCAGTCAGTGCCACCTATTAGTGCCAGTCAGTGCCACCTATTAGTGCCAGTCAGTGCCGCCTATCAGTGTCATGTATCAGTGCTGCCTTTCAGTGCCCAGCAGTGATGCCTGTCAATGCCCATCAGTGCCACCTATCAGTGCTGCCAATCAGTGCCAGTCAGTGCCACCTAACAGTGCCAGTCAGTGCCACCTAACAGTGCCATGTATCAGTGCTGCCTTTCAGTGCCCATCAGTGATGCCTGTCAATGCCCATCAGTGCCACCTACCATTGCCTCCTCATCAGTGCCACCTATTTCATATGGGTACAGTGTTGCATGACCGCGCAATTGTCAAAGTGTGACAACGCTGAAAGCTGAAAATTGGCCTGGGGGGGGGGGGGAAGTGGGTATAAGTGCCCTGTAGGCTAGGGGTTAAATGGTGTTGCCTCAGAAGGGGGGTAGTTCTATACAAGTATAGCCCAAAACCTATGTTTTAACTGGAAAATTAGGGGGTCGTCTTATACACCCAGTCGCCTTATACGCCTGAAAATACGGTATATTAATATTGCACTTTCAGCACTCTACTCACATATGTGTTTATATCACATGCGGTTATGGAATTTATGACATGCATTTTTTAGCACTGCACTAATATTTTAGAAATTGTGCTTCTGAGACTGTTATCTATAAATTGAGTGCTAGCTGCTTTTAACACTTGAGCTCCAGAGGATTTACCCCCCTTAATGACCAGGCCTCTTTTTGCTACTCGGCGCTGCACTAATTCAACTGATAATTGCGCGGTCATGCAATGCTGCACCCAAAGGAAATTTACGGCCTTTTTTCACACAAATAGAGCTTTCTTTTGGTGTAATTTGATCACCTGTGCGCTTTTTATTTTTCACGCTATAAACAAAAAAAGGCCAAAAATTTTGAAGAAAAACAATATTTTTTATTTTCAGCTATAAAAAAATATATAGTAAACTCAAAGTTGGTTATAAATTTTAGGCCAAAATGTATTCTGCTACATGTTTTTGGTAAAAAAAAAAGCCCAATAAGTGTATATTGATTGCTTTTTGTGGAAGTTATAGCGTCTACAAACTATGGTATAAATACTGCAATTTACGCCATTTTTCTGCTATACAGCGCTGCGCTAGTTTAACGGACAATTTCACGGTCATGCAATATGGTACATAAATTAAATTTACATCATCCTTTTTTTCCCCCACAAATTGAGCTTTCTTTCGGTGGTATTTGATCGCCTGTGCGGTTTTTATTTTTTGCGCTATAAAAAAAAAAAGGCTGACAATTTTGAGAAAAAAAAAACAAAACACATATTTTGGACTTTTTGCTATAAAACATGTCCAGTAAAAAAAAAAATGCAAAAATCAAATTTAGTCATACATTTCTGCCAAAATGTATTCTGCGACATGTCTTTGCTAAAAAAAAAAAAAACCCAATACGTGTAAATTAATTGGTTTACGTGAAAGTTATAGCGTTTACAAATGGCGGGAAAGATTTTTAGGGTTTTTTTTATACTAATAATGGCGGCGATCAGCGAATTATGGCGGCGATCAGGGACTTATGGCAGTGACCAGCGACTTATGGCGGGACTGTGGGACTGCGGCGGACATTTTGACATTGGGGGGTACTGACTTGGGGTCACTGACATCCCCAAAAACACTAATACAGTGATCAGTGCAAAAAGAAAAACACTGACACTGTACTAATGGCAATGGGGAGGAAGGGGTTAACTTTATTTTGCAGGGAAGGGTTATAGGAGTGAGGGGAGTGTTTTACTAGGGGGCGGGGGTGTGTACTGGGCTTGCCAAGGCTGATCAAGAAAGAGAAACTGTTCTCTCGATCAGCTCATCCTTCGAGCTTACAGGGAAGTGACAGACAGCACAGCTACTGCAGCTGTGCTCTGTCACTGTTTGCCGCTGATCGCCGGGACATAGCCGCTAAGGAGCGGCTGTGACCCGGCGACTGACATCTGCGGCGGTGAACCGCGGGACAAATAGGACGGCGGCGCGCCTCGTGCCCCCTATTTGTTTACAAAACACACGGTTTAAAACGTGGTTTTGCCTGTGAGTGCCGCCCTGCCGCCGTATATGTACAGTGGCTGGGCGGCATGCGGTTAATTCATTTGAATATATATAATTTTAATATCATATACTGCATTTAGCGCTTGCTCTATTATCTTTTCTACATACTAGTGCTAGAATTACTGCCCTTGACTGAAGTTCATGGCGATACCTCACATGCATGGTGCAACTGCTGTTAACATACCAGCACAGGGTCAACGCTCAAACACGCTTTGATCACTTTTAAAGCTATCACAGGGAATGCAAGTATCCGCTATAACTTCAATGGGCATTGTCATATATTATTTTTTGAGAAATCTGGGGTCTATCAGACTCTAGATATCTCCTCTGCCCTTACATTATCTAATCAAACCAAGATCGGTGTGATCAGATGCTTTCCCTACTTTCAAATGGTGCTATTTATATCCTGCGAAACTGAGGCGATGAAATGCTCGTAGCTTCCGATTTCTTCGACTATAGAGATGATTGGCACCATCTCGGTCTCCAATCAGCTCTATAGTATGCTTGATTGAAACACTGACTGCATTCTTAGGTTCCCCTGATGGCACGGGACTGTCTGAGAAGGCCGTGGAAGGCAGTGGGGGAGGGGGGCATCTTCTCCCACTGCTTGTAAAAGCAATCCTGCAGCTAACTACTAAGAGTGCGTTTACATGAAAGCTGATTGCCGGCTAAAAAAAATGATAGCCGGATGATGCCTGCAGCTGCAGGTATCATCCTGGTATAACCACTCAAAGTCCAGTGATGTATCAGTACGTCGCTGGTCTTTGTTGGATGTATATGCTATGTTTTTTTTATGTGGGCTGAATGAAAAATAGAAGAAATCTCTGCCAGAAAAAATGTGTGGTATGCCCACCATTAGAATATACCATCCTGCATCCGCCCACTTCTAATATGCAAAACAATATTCTAAAATATATGCCAAAGCATAGGGGCCATCCACCCATTGGCCACCCCAGGACCCCATGCTTCGGTATATATGCTCTTTTTTTAACTGCAGATGAAAAATCTCATTGTACAGTGCTGCCCACACTGATTTATGTATATTCTGAGAGCAAGACCCTGTTGGTGTCAGAATAGACAAGTCGGTGCCCCCAGCTGAATGACATCCTCATTTCTCAAGCAGACTTTTTCCCCCTTTCTAAGACAGGTATTTACAAGCCGTTGAGGGAAGCCCCAGTGATTAGGTCGCACGGTGCCACATGCGCCATTTCCAAAATTTGTGCAGATGTCTAAATAGTGGCACGCTTGAATAAAAATTGTCCACGTATAAGTGGTACCCCATATGGAAAAAGGATGACACCAAGTCGAAAACTATCTTGCCACAGCTCCCCTTGTAATCTGGCTATCCGGGGGGGCTCCATGTGACTATCTTTTCCCTTGTAAATGCGAAACTTATATGTATAGCCTGTTCTTACAGGTCTTATACATCTTGAACCCATATCTGGCACGCATGCTGGGGAGAAATTGTTTGAATTTAAGGCGGTCAGAAAAATTAATGAGGGACTCATCAACGCAGGTGTTTTGCTGGACATCTGCAAATTTTTGGTTAAGGTGATTTACAAGGGGCCGAATGTTGTGGAGCCGGTCAAATTCAGGGTCACCCCAAGGATGTGTGCTGTCATTGAAATGCATAAAACACATTATACTCTAATATGTATGCCTGGCCATGGCAGCAGAGAACACGGGCAGATGATGAATCAATTAATTTGTTTAGTAATGCCCATGTTGAGGGTTAGGCCCAAAAAAAATGTAAGTTCAGAAACCTTAATGGGTTTCCATGCGAATGGTCTGGCAAGGTTTGAATTTGGGTTGGCGGCGATAAACTGTTGTGCATATAAATTGCTTTGATCCACAATCAATGCATACAGATCTTCCATGAAAAACAGCTCCAAAAAAATCAAGGGGAGTAGTTAAATTTGCTGTTTACACCTGAATAATGGGATGGGCAGTGAATGGGGGAAGTATGGGTGCTGCAGAATCAGGATTTGCAAGTACAACCGGAAGGCTCTACTGGCCTGTGTGCGAATTCTTGGTGGCTCCGGGACACTACTTGTGTTCGCCACTGCACCAGCTTGTACTGCACTTATGGGACTCACCACGGAGCACCTAGCTGTCAGGGACTGCTTTAACCGCTACAAAAAAATTTACCGGCAAATGCTAACAGAGATCAGGCCTGATTCTGCAAACACTGTGGTTTTGTGTGCAATGTATCAAGTGACAGTGACCTACTGACACTGCACTTGCTGGAAGAGAAGGGGGGGGGTAAGCATAGGGACTAAATGCAGATGCTGGCAGGTTCCAGGGCTGATCCCGCTAACGCGCTGTGTTTTTGGGGACACTATACTAATGTGAACGCTGGTATAGTGCTGATCTGATCAAAGATATTGATCCGTTCAGACACTATACTAGCAATGGAGGTTTATGGTTTATGAGCGTGTTCCTGGCAATCAAGGGGTTAATGTGATGACTGGTGTACTGACGGGCAATCTGACGCTATCTGGGAGGGGCACAAAAACCACGGGAGCGCAAATCATGTATATATATACATGACTTAGCGCACCTGTGCTGCCCTGTAGCAGTATTTCTACTATAGGGCAGCGCAGAAGTAGTTAAACATGTCCAGTAAAACATTTTTAAAAAATCTAATTTTGTCATAAATTTAGGCCAAAATATATTCTGCGAAATGTCTTTGCTAAAAAAAAATCCCAATACGTGTAAATGAATTGGTTTACATGAAAGTTATAGCATTTACAAGTGGTCGTATAGATACTGGAATTTTTTTTTACTAATAATGGCAGAAATCAGCGACTTATAGTGGGACTGCTGCAGACATTCTGACACTGGGGGGAACTGACTTGGTGTAACTGGGGATTGTGACGATCGCTCGTCAGACCCCTGTCTCACCAAACTTGTGACCGAAGGACTAGCCAATCTGAAACCGCGATGTCATGTGCGTAACAATGCCACACCCAGCTGCACAACGATTTTCCAGCTAATGGACCACAAATCGATGTACCGGCAGCCTGAATGTGATTGTTACTGGGTCAGGTTAATTACACAATTAACCCTTCACACTGCCACCACCTCCTTTTTGTACAGAGAAAGA